TACACGATTTAACCACTAGAGGGCAGCAGTGTTAAATCATTTAATGAATCATAAACATTACACGATTTAACCACTAGAGGGCAGCAGTGTTAAATCATTAAATGAATCATAAACATTACACGATTTAACCACTAGAGGGCAGCAGTGTTAAATCATTTAATGAATCATAAACATTACACGATTTAACCACTAGAGGGCAGCAGTGTTAAATCATTTGATGAATCATAAACATTACATGATTTAACCACTAGAGGGCAGCAGTATAAATCACAGGAGCCCAAATTACACACTGTCCAAAGTCGCCATAACCACTGCAAGTCGGATCTTGCAGCATTTCGATGGAAAAAGACACATTACAGACCCAACAATGTACTAGCAGATGTTACCATGGAGCTAGTAGCTTCAGAAAACGCTAGTACTTAAAGTACAAACCTTATCTTCCTCTTCTATAAGCCGTAAACCAACGTATAACCTTGCGTAACTGAGCTACCCTCATGCTCGGTAGCAGCCATTACGCACAGTAAGTCCGCTACTTACATACCACGTCTTCGACCAAAAGTGTATCGCATTAGTCTACGTAAGAGACCACGAATAAGCCGAAATGCGCCCTAATTGTGCGGTATCGAATCCTGCCCGTATCTGTTTTGACTCGGTGTGATCGTCTTGAAATATGTACGTCAGCAACTAAAATAACCACAGTAAGCCTATATTAAAGCATTGGTGGAAAGTTGATTATATTTTCTTTTATTAATCTGAATCTTCAAAGTAGTGGAGTAAAAAGTACAATATTTGCCTTTGAGGTGAATTGGACTAGAAGTATAAAGTAACATGAAATGTAAATACACAAGTAAAGAATAAGTACCTCAAAATTGTAATTAATTATTGTCCAAACTAAGGACCTTATGTGATGATGAAGCAAACAAAGAATGTGACTAACAGGATTATTATTTATGAACATAGTTTAGAGTTCAGAAAATCCTCTCTTGGGTAGCTATTCAAAGTTGTAATTTTTTTGAGGGAAGTTGTAATAGCTAAATAATAATAAGGAAGACGATGAAGAAATCAACACAGAAAAGTCAGTTTTATACTTTTTAATGTAGAAAAACAACAAAAATGACGATAATAAAGTGTAACATAAAGGACTTAAGGTATTCAATTCAATTTATTTTCGTACAGCCCAAAATCACAAATTTGCCTCAGAGGTCTGTACACGTACTACATCCTCTGACCTTTGACCCTCACATCAGAACCGGAAAAACTCCCCCAAAAAAAACTTTAACAGGAGAAAAGAGGGAGCGGTATAAATAAACTACATGTAATGAAGGTAAAGTGCAACATAAATAAAGTGAAGAAATCAAGAACACAGAAATATCTGAACCTGTTGTCTATTTCTACATAGTTGAAACAACATGATGATAACAACAGCAACAAATTGTAACAGAAGCGACTTAAATAATCAGAAATACAGTAAAAAATAATGAAGAATATTCTGTGTACATAAAGCTTATGAGCATTGGATTACTGGTGTGGGATCATTGATCAGGTGACAAGACCGTCAAAGTGAAGAGACAAGATGGTCACGGATCAGATATCCAACAATATTTTACACACGCGGGCCGGGCCTTAAAACAGTGACCGTTGTAAAGCCAAACCATTTAACAGTGCAAAGAATTTCAAAACACACACACAGTTCCAAACATATTAAGTTGTTGGAGGGTTTTCACCTCCTGGCTTTTTTTTCCCGTAACCCCGCTTCTTCAGCATCGCCCTCCATTCTTCAAATGAGGGTCAGACTCTGGACAGCACCAGCTCCCAAAGTACTGAAGGTGTGATGTGGCTTTCTGTCTTTGTTGCACTTTCTGCAAAGGATCACGTCTGTCTTCTTCACGTACTTTCTCTTGACGGTTCCACTTTGCTCCATATCTTTTCTTCTTTTCCTGTACTGTTGAGTACTGTAAGGAACAGCTTGACTGGATGTGTGAGTTGAAGGTGGCACAGCTGAAGGTAAACTGGGGTTGGGGGAGTGGAAAAACATCATCTGTGAGGTTCCAGGCACTATAGGAAGCCCCATAGATGGGAAAAAGAAGGGGAAGGAGACGGGCGGTCTCTTCTTGAGAGTTGCTTCTCCTGCAGTGTTTGGTGGCAGGATGAAAAGGTGAAGCTCAACCAAACTGCCAGACTGCAGAGATGGCCCTTTCTGCAGAGCCGCAGGAAGCTTCTCTGGTCCTGCTGAGGGTGCATCTGGAGCTGGGATACCCTGCTGCAACATGTTTTTTTCAAGTGCCCTGCCACGCCTGCTGAACCTGGGAAAACATAAAACAACCAATATTAATAAACAGATTGCAAACAGCTGAATACCGCTCCGCTCACTCCTCTTCTTCCAAGACTGTTGTCACGGGGCCTTCACATCTACATGTCAATGTAGATGTGAAGGGCTCATTCTAAGTGAATGAAAACACTAATTAAAAAAATAACTACGTGATAATCCACTGACAACATAGTTATGTTAATTTCTACTAATATATCCCACATAATGCTAAACACATTGTACATTTAAGCAGTAATACGCAAGAGTGATCAATTGCTATGTGATCACGACTGTGATGCAGCAGCATGACACAGCAATAGATCACACCCTCTTATGTATGCTTGCTTTTGTAAAATAGATTCTTCATTTAGATTTTCATTTCATGTGTTGAGCCAGCCATCATGCTATGAAAACAGATTACAGCTGGAATGCAAAAGTGACTAATGGAAGCGATGCAGAAAACATGCTCTGCATAAAATATGAGTATATGAAGCATGCTCATATACTAGCCATTGTGTGACAGTTGCAGCAATCAACTAATCAAGGTAGTTTAATCTTTAACAATGTATCTATAATGCAATATATATATATATATATAAACTGATCTTTTTTGTATCCTCGATCTTCAAAGTAACAGGTAACTGAAGTTATTAATTACATGTAGTGGAGTAAAAAGCACAATATTTGTTACTGAATTGTAATCGAGTAGTAGTGAAATGAACGTTACAAACAGGTGTCCAGTAACGTTGTTACGTTATTGTAAAGGTTACGACTCACAGACAAGAGTACCGTTTCATTTTAATTTAGGTCTTGTCATGCTGTATGTAACATTACTTTATTGTAAATGAATGAATACATAAAAAGAAAAGTAAAATAACAGTAATGGCGGACAGTCCCACTTAACGTTAGCTCGCTACGGTAATCAACAAGCGGTTTAGTTTGTTAACTCTGTTAGTTAACGTTAAAGTAACCCGACACAAACATAATATCAGTAACGTTAGACCTAGCTAAGTAACCTAAGTACTAAAATCGCTATCTGTAATGTAATACAGTGATGACAGGTGACGTTCGTTAGGACGCGTTTCATCGTTAGTAAAGAGTTACCGAGCCACGGGTCATTCATTCAAATATCGATATATCTCAATTCATTGATATTGACAGTAGCTATAAAGGATTGACTTACTTTCGAAATGTTAAGATGAAAAAGAATCAGGCGGCCATTCTCGTCCTCCACCGCTGAATATAATCGTTTTCGGTCGTCCTCGTCATTCATCGTGAGTGTTCGCGAGCTCGAAGACGCCGATTGGTCAATTCTTGGTTGATTCTTGGTTGCGATACGAGCACCGATTGGCCGCAGCGGACACTTCCTGGTTGATTTGTGGTTACAGACTGAACAGTGATTGGCTTTCACAACCAAGAATTAGGTCGACTTACGAGCTACATGGAGCGCCATATATATATAGTTTTTGCAATTTGCAAAGGCTAAAAATAAAAGGAAAATAATATATCAAAATATAAAGGGAGAAACACCTTTAGTGTGTCAGAATATCATTTGGTTACCATGTGTCCATTTGGGTCTCCAAATATCCTTTTAGAGCTCCGCCTGGATCTCTTCATGGAAGAAATACTGTAGAATGGTCATACTTTGTCCAATCTTCTTCAAATTTGAGGCAGTTGTTCACTGATAGTGTAGTTACAGCCCTATACTGTCCTTTACCTGTACAGATACAGCCACGGGCAGTTATTTATACTGAAAGATACTTTTTTATTTTATGCGGACAAAAATCTTCAATTTGTACTGACTCCAAAGGCCCACTGCTCTGTTTCTATATGACCTACAGGTTTTCTGACACTTTTGATGCATATAGTCACAGTGGTTCAGAAGCTACAGCCATTTTAATTTGGGTATGTCATTTTAGGTGGTTTTGCTCCAAAATAGGGGTAGAGTTGAACAGGTAACAATATAGTTATTGAATACAAATCAAACCAAGAGTGAGATCAATTAGTTAAACTAATAGTGTTAATATTTGAATGGGCCCCGGGACACTTTGTACTTGAAAAGTTGGGCCCCGAGGTCAAAAAGGTTAAGAACCCCTGGTCTAATACACAAAAAGTACGGCGCAAAGATATTAAACCTTACAAACACAAGCAGGGGATTATATTTAAATAACAGGATTTGACATTTCATTGTCGCACATTAACTGAAAGTGGAGATTAATAATGGTTATTGGAAAAATTGTGAAAAAACACTATAGTATGTTGTCTTTTTTTTGCTTGATGGTGCACATGTACAGTACACAAATGAGATGATTTACAGGCAAGGAGGTGTCTCTGCTGTAGTCAAATGTAAAGTACATTATACACATTTGCACATAAAGTATAACACAATTATTAAGTAAGTGTGTTTCTAGAAAAGCACTCCGATAACTTCAGTAATACGTATTTACTATTCATGCTGTGCAAGTAACATTTAATCTAAGAGCTATGCCTACATGTCTTCCACCCTGGCGACACCGTTGTGACACATTGTCAACATGTCAGAGACTGAACTGTACCTGAGCTGCTCCCCTCACTCGGCCCTCTGCTGTAGCTCTTGGGCATGGCTACGGACTGTCGAGGTGATGAGCTTCCCAGAGCGGTGAGACCTGAGGACTGGGAGACAGAGCTGGAGGGTCCAGGAGATGGACAGGGGGACAGACCACCCGTCTTCAGATGGTCGTTCTCAGCCTTCAGGTTCTCCACTGTTGACTATGGACAAAATCCAAGAAGTGGGGAGAAGTCATTTTCATAAATCATCCTTCCATAATACAACTGCAGTGGTGTTTTTTAAACATCACAAGATCATTTTTTAAGCAATAAAAGATGTCAGTTTGACTTGATAACATACAAGAGCACATACCTACACTCAACACGAACGTTGTCCTCAACATAATCATTTGCACAGTGTGGACATTTTTTGGAAGTAAAAAAATCAAAGGAACAAATCACACATACTTGCATGTTGCACATGGCGTCCTGCATCTGCTCCAGCTGATGGGCGGAGCTCAGAGCCTCCAGGCGGACGTCTGTCAGTTTGCGCTCCTTCTCCCACAGCTCTGAACGCAGGTCTGTTACAACGTTATCATCACCCACCTCATCTCCTTCACAGAGTCTGGAGATATTCAGTGCAAATAACACAACGTTAGAGACGGGAGGAAGTGGCAAGGATCATTAGACAGACAGCTGTTTGAAATATTTCAAATGTTAAATCAAAGGATAACTTTGGTCATTCTCAACCTGGACCCCGTTTTCACATTTTTGTTTTGTTTCTAAGTGACTTGTGGAGACGACATTTTTAAATTGGTCAAGGAATGAGGCATACAGCTGCAGAAGGCAGTCGCTAAACGAGTTAGGACATATCGAGCAATTGCGCACCCTCAATGTACGTCCACTTAAAGTGCTTGTTTTTGCCACTGACAACATTATGGAAATTACTGTTTTTCTTGCTCCCTTAATACTGGACGAATTTTAAACATAGATACAGTAACATGAGCACAGACAGCATAGAGTCTTGTAATAATCCACGGTATATTCACATCAATTTTTTGGCAATGAAATCTAATCATTATGTCATAACACAATTCCAACCATCTGGTGTTGGACCGTTCAGTTAAAAGATCATTGCAGGGAGAGGTTTACCCTGATGATGATGCAGAGGCAGAGGATTTCAATGACAATGGAGGGTTGTTCCCACCATGGTGGACTCTAGGGGAGGAAGGTGCAGAGGATTCTGGGGTGGAAATTTCCTCAATGTCGGCATACGGTCCAGCCTGCTTGGAGCCCTTCTTGCTAAAGGCCTTGTTGAAGGAGCTGCGTAACTGTACAAAAAGAAACATGGGACAGAAATAGGTCTAAAAACTACACTAGACTATAATTCAATTGACAAGCAAATCTTGAAAGCGCTTGTGTGAGCTGCTTCTATCAGATATGTTTTCCACTGAGAGTTGTATTCCGCATTTATTCTTAATTTATGTTGCCGCCTAGTTTAATCTATTTTATAATTATTTTTAAACAGTGGACAGACATAAAAGCCCAACCCTAACTTGGTGTAATGTTTAAATGAATTGAAATGATTAAAACAAAACATATAAGTCAATTTTATTCATACAAAACATTTCCATTTAAAGTTTCTGCAACAGTGATACTTACTACTCATTGAACAGTTTGTAGTTTCCAGTACTACAAAACAGTTTAACATAAAGTACATACACCCTGATTCTGTAATTTAATATAAACGGTTTATTATGATCAAACATGATATACACTAAAGGGATTATGTGTATTATGTTTAAAAAGACGCAGACGACAGAGTTTCAAAATGTATGACTCACAACGTGCATGCAGACTGGAGAAGGCTGTGGGGGGGGGGGGGTTAGGGTATATTTACTGTAGCAACAACACTTACCTCAAAGACCTAAAATAAAAAGCAGGGCAGCATGAGGGAAAAACCAGAGTCATACTTAATAACAGACTTGGAACAAGATAGGATGAGAGAGACGAACACACATGCAGGAAAAAACCACTAGAGCTGCAGCTGATTTATTTTTTTATTTTTTCGTATCAAATATAGTGTAATATAAACTGATAATAGCCATAATTGTATTACATTTATATTTTTTATTCAAATTGTTATTCTCTATTTCACACGAGCCTTTTTAGCATCTTGTATTTTATTGCCGATATTGTTCCGTATGAACTTGACATTTTATAATGTGGGGCTAATCGAGACCATGACTGAATTAGCTTTAAGTTTGATGAATTTGACATTTATATCTGACCAATTAAAAACCCAGATGCGCTGAACTGTTCAATTCAATCAACCAAAAACGGTTTGATAGCGTTCATACCTTTCTCTAATGATCTGAAGGAAACAACCGATTCGTAAACCCTGGCAAAATAATTCTTAGAATGTATTTTGATGTAGCGTCTCACCACACAGTGCAGTAGGCTGGGACTCTTCTGGTCAGTGACTGGCAAAACTCAGATACACCCAACAATATGTCTAATCAGTGCGGCCTCTAGATTCTGCCTGTGTGTTCTCACCCAGCTCTTCTTCTTCTTCTTCTTGGCCTCCTGCTCTTTCAGACTGCCCATACTCGAGTGGCTGGTGTTGCTGGTGAGGCTGGAGATGCTTTCGGACGAGTTCTGCCGATGGATCAGCGGTTCTAAATGGGAACACATTGATTAATGAGAGGGAAGCTTTATGAAAGTCCTACGTTCATCTTTGCGTGCGTTTCGTTTATTGTACATCCCCAGAATATTCTGTACCTTTAGGTTCGATGTCCGGAGTGCTGAGAGCCTCCTGAGAGCCGAGAGCCTCCTGAGAGCCGAGAGCCTCCTGAATGATTTCATGGGTCTCTGTGTTTTTCACCCTAAGAACCTCGATGGTATCCTTCAGCTCAGTGAGCTCAGAGTCCTGAAGAAGGAACATATCAATATGTGTTCATGTTAGCTCACTGAACCAACATTCAACATGTTGTTTTTATCTTTTTGGAATATGGAAATCCTGCTATAGGAAATTTTGACCCACAACTGATTTCCAGAACGACTATGTCACCTGGTAGCGTCTCTTTCACTGACAGCATCGAATATAAAGCAGCTGAATGATAATCGGACCAAAGGTTTATCATCATGTATTTGTTGAGGCTGTAGTAACACCATTGTGTCTTTAGAATAATATTCATTGCTTGTTTCTTTAAGTGTCATGGTTTTTTAAATGTAAACTGTCACACATGTCTCAGTTGGTTTAACAATCATTAGCATTGCGACAAATACCTTTTGGTCTGAGGAGACCGACAGGGTCTGCAGGCGTGCCGTCATCAGCGCCAAACTCTGTTCAAATGCTGCTACCAGATTAGCCTTTAGAGGAAGACACAGAGGTAGGAGGAGGAAGAGAGAGGGGGGGGGTTGAGACAGCAGACAAGTATGAGTCACCGGCTGCATCGAATCAGTCTGCAGCCTCACACGCTCACAGCACATCAAGCAAATGGCTTTCTCCATCTGCTGGGAGAGGAGGGAGGGGATGGAGCACTGGGCAGCTGTGGATGATGTCAGGGATGAAAGGGGACGTTAGGGTGCTGGTGGTGAGGGACGGCAGGGGTGTGACATACCTTGCCAACCATCATGTAGCATGTTTGACCTTCAGTCTCAGATATCGCACACTACTTTGGCTGACGATGGCGTGACCATTTAGAAATCTAAAAATCCATGGCTGACACCGCCATAATGAATTTGTTAAGAACTTATGAACGATTCTACATGATGTTTTTGTTGGAGCTTGCTTATGTACATCTATTGAATAATTGAATACGTTGCTACTCCTTGAATCTGTCTGAATGTTAAAGTTAGTATTTGCGGTATCTTATTAGCCTTCAAGTCTCAGAAAACTATCAGGAATATTCAGAATTGGTGCTGAGAGAATTAGTTGGTTAATTAATAAGCAGATTGACAGAAAATGAATCATTTTGATGATCATTTGAAGAATTTATCAAGCCAAATATGCCAAATATAAGTAGACAGAAAATAACAGTTAGTTGATAACGTGTCGACATGCTTCAAGGTAGGTGATGAGGTCAGCTGAGACAGCAAGCCCAACAGAGATGTCAGATGACAGCAGCTGGTCAGCTTGACGTCCACTCAGAATCATGCAGAAGCGTCAGAGAGCGCTCTGGAAGCAACAGTCCAACAAACCTGGCCTAGCTGCTCCACCCAGCATCCAAAGGTGCAGGTCAGCGGGAGGCAGGCAGGCAGGGGGGAAGCAGCAAGTCCAGCAGTCAACACGTCCAAAAAACGTAAAAGAGAGGGACAGAGGCGTTAGGCGTGGGCTTGAACTTAAACAGCAAAAACATATACAGAACGAAACACACACACACACACATACAGGTAGGCTGCATACACTCACTCAGTATAACTCCCAGGTAAGTTGATAAGCAACGGCAGAGGGCAAAATGTTCAATAGAAGGCCGTAGTTCATACGTGTTGTCTATTAGATCAGGATCAGTGGTGAGGTGGTGTTAAAGTAAAAGTTGAATGTGATGGAAACAGCCAGGCTCAAGCATCTAGAAGCTGCAGGGTGACACTAAGAGGAGAAGCAGTGGTGGCTTCATCAAGGCTACAAGGACTATAGCAACAGTGGAAAGATGTGAGTGGCAGTGAGATAACTGAAAATAGGGCATGCCTTCTGTAACATAAACCACAACTGGGGACTTGTTTTGTTTTGTTTTGTTTTCCCTTCATTCTCCTACAATCAGCTATCCAATAAAGGCATAAAATGCTCCAAAATATTCAAGAAAGCCACAAGTGTTGGGTCGGTTGGTAGATCCTAGATGCGTCATGATGTCCTTACTCCCCGTGAGCCGGACCGAGGCCAGAGTTATGCCTCGCTATCTAGAGTCATCCACAGTGATGCTCCTTTTCTTAAGTGAGCAAGGATTCACACCATATCTTTCCCACATCTCACCCTCACAGAAATGCAGGGCAGATACTAGATACACATGTTAAATGGGGTTTCTGTATGTCAGTTGGTTGTGGGCTACAAACTCGTTGACTTAGTGGAGGTATAATTTACATTTTGGATTGATCACACTGATAAAAGATCTCGCAAGCTTCCAACACAAACAAAACATCTTACAATAAGAGGCCTAAAGGGCATCTAAAAACAATTCAAAATAAATCATACATACATTGGCAGTAAGCTGCATGGTTAAGTCGGCAACCTTTTCCTGGGAAGACTCCAGCTCTCGCCTCAACTTGCGGATTTGCTGTGGACAAATTGAAAAGTAAGCCCCAGCAGTATGGACAATATACAAAACCTCGGACAAAAAGCCAGTGCTGGGGATAATTCAGCAACTGAATGTGTTAGAATTTGTTGTTTCATTTGTTTAACAAAACAAAATCTAAAATATATCTTATATCTATATATATATGAAGGAAACCAAAATGACAGTGGTATATACTCTCCAAACCAAGGGCAAATGTTCAATCAATGGATGACAGTGGGACTTTTCTCATGCACTGGGAATTTTATGAGGTCTGAGAATGTCTTTATTAAATGATAGCAGGTGGAGCTAAATGATAAAGAATATTAGAGATAAGACAATATGAACTGAGATCTGTGGACTTCACTGAGCACTGATAGCATCATCTGGTGAATGGACCCCGTCTCAACAGGAAATGACTGACAGATGACGCAGAGAAAAGACACAATGTGAGTTGAAGAGTCGTGGCATGTTGGCCTTACCTCCCCTTGTATCCTCTCCTCATTCTAACGAAGGCATGGTGAAGGCAAATGAACAATGAAGAGGGATAAGTTAACTTCAGGGGCAGTGACGAAAACTAGTAATCCACAGAATCACTGAACTTTTATAGAGACGATAATGCTGAAACAGAAACGTGGACGAAGCACCGGATAGCTGTCCAATCACAGAATGCAGTATGAGGTCACTAAAGTGTTTGTAACCAACTAGGGAAGGCTTTAAGGTCACTTAATATAATGCATGCAAGGTTTTCCTTGAAGACAGGACAGCGTGTAAACTGAAGTCACAAAGCACTGAACACCAGCAAAAGTAACAATATACTGTACATATTGGTTGTATCTACTCACCGCGGAATGGTTGGATGAAGCGTTGGACGCCAAAGAGAGCACAGAGCCATGCACTGAAACAGGCAAGGGAGGGATTTGACTTATTATTAAAATATACAATTCACTAATCCCTGCTATCCCCAGTCACAAATAAAAGACTAACGCGGGGACATTTCTATTACTGACAACCCTTAAGACGATGTAATATCTCAAACTCAGTCAGCTAATTAAGAACATATCAATGACAGGCACATTTCCCAGACATGATTTACGATTTGATGTAAACAAACCTTTGTTATCGCATCGAAATACACTAAGAACTTGGAGTTTGAGCTATAAAGTGTATTAAAAAGCCTGCAAATTATCTGAGAGTGAAAGCAGGTTTGAATTATTAGTGGAGAGACTCCTCATTTGTTTACATCTGGACCACAGATAGTGCCTTTCAGTCCTTGTATAACTCACTGTTAATCAAAATTGAATGCACCAAGACTCTCCACTTTTCTTGTTCATGAAAACAAATGTCCTTCTGGCATTTTCCTCAACAGATTGGGTGCTGTACGAGGGGACAGCTTTTGTTTCGTTTGAGGCCGCGTTGGGCGACTCCCCTGCAGGGGGGGCCCCGCGGAGCAGGCTCACCATCATCCCCGGGTTCCCGGAAAGACCCGCACCGCATCATGCTTTTTGGCCGGTCAGCCAGGGACATACTGCTGCCCAGGGGGGAGGATCCATAGAGATCGCAGGCTGACTCACTGGGTGGGCCTATGCTGTTGGAGCGCGATATCCTCGGGGTGCCACTAGAAATTGGGGCAACTATCATACAAGAGAGATGTTTGGAAAGACAGTGAGTGAGTGGCACAGATAAGGCCGAAGGATGCAGTTTTGTGTAGCATCTCTCTCACTCACTCACACACACACACACACACATCTAGGTATAGCATGCTTATTCTGATGACTCAGTGAAAGAAAACACTACAGTTCCACAACAGTCAAAGAGATAAATATAGCCTGACATGACCCCCTATATCGGCAGCATAATTCAGACTTAAACTCAAGACTATATGAGTGCAGATGTGGGACTGTAATATTCACATATAATATAATATACAATATTCACAGTCCCATCTGGTACCATAACCATTTTGATGACTTGATGTATGATTGACAACTTGTGTCAACATTTTCCTAACTTTAAAATCTATGCCAGACATTCCTCTCAGTGGGAACTTAATATCGCTGCCCTCAATAATAATCAACGGTGAGATGGCTTATCACGGAGCTCAAGTCTCATTAGTTTCAAAGCGGGGTGCGTTTTTAGAACTTGGCAGCCAAATGGAGAGAGCAGACTCACCCACGTTGGTGAGAGGAGCCTTGCCGGAGGAGGGGAGGAGGAACGTGCGGGTGGGAGAAGGCAGCTGGGGGGGGCTGTCGCTCTCAGTCATGCTAACTATGTTGTGGGAGTGGCGTCTTTCCGGTTTGCCGTCACTCTCTGACAGGCTCGCACCATAGCGTCTGAGAAAAGAAAAGTCGTTTTTTAACTTCCAACAATGAAGAGACATCACAGTGTGAGATTTCAAATAAGATGCTTCGACTGTAATTGTTATGACGTACTCTAAGCCTTTCTTCGGCAACGTATTTCTGTCTGTTTGCAAGCTGTGAAGAAGAGAATAAAACATTGATAATGGAGGTCAAACAGTCATTGGGAATAATTCTAATAAAGATGATCAAACTTGAAATTAATATATTAATTTTAAGCTTTTTCACAGGACAACAAGGGATCCTCTTCTAATCATTTTTGTCTATCTTGCCCATATGGCTTACTGGGCACTTTCATACACAGCGTGGGATTGCCTGAAAGTACTGACCATCTCCACCTTGACAGACAGAAATTTTCCGATGGAGCCGGCCCTTCCATCTTCTAAATGACACATCAGAGTTTCCGTTCACGGAAAAGGCACATAAAACATGATTGGCTGGTATGTCTGCCGCCAAGAATCTTATAACCCAAAGTTGGATGTGTTCACAGTGAAACAGTGGTTCCACTGCCCTCTGGACATTTTGTTTCGCACACTATCAGATGCTGGGATAAATGCAGTTCCTTCTACCAGTATCGGTTCATAGGAAGATGGAAAAGTGGCTTTTTACTATATATTTTTAAATTGACTGTACACCTTTGATACATTAATGTTAGATATTACTTACCTATCTGTGAGGTTGAGGGATGTCCTGCTGCCGGCTCCCCAGGTTCCCGTACCCCTTTCGTCCTTGTCATGCATCTCAGTTCTGACAAACCTCCCACTGGAAGGTACGCTCATCTGGAGCGGCAGGGACTCCATGCTGCGGTGCATGCCAGACAGCTTGGGGTAGAGCAGGGGTGATCCACTGAGACTCAGGCTTTCGCTGGTGTAGGAGCCGGGGGAATCGATGTGGAGCACAGGCGCCGGGCTCGGGGTGAGGCGGCAGGATGTGTGGGAACCAACCAAGTCCTGCAGCTTGGAGTAAGGGGGTACTTTGGGCGGGAGGTCCAGGAGGGTCACACAGGAATCAAGACTGTTGAACTTGTCCAGGTGAGCCAAGCTGGGTGGACGACCCAGAGACTTAGTGTTCAGCATCCTAGGGATCAGGCATGAAAAAAGATGTTATGATATAGAAACTAAGTGCATTATGGGTATTCATTTCAGTTCATTTTCTAACTTCTCTACCACCAGCCATGTAGATAATTGTGGTTATATTTTCCATGGTTTTGACATATCTGTCTCTAAGAATTCTGCCACTAAATTTCAACAGAAAAATAAATCCAAGGAAACGATCTTCCCGTTAGTCTAAACTGATAGTGAGCTCTGTGGATTAACTGGAGTAACTGGGACACTGTTTGTGGAAAGAGATATAGCTCTAAAATTTGTTTTTATGGTTTTAAATCCGGTCTGCACCATGACATTTCATTTACTTTCATTGGACAGTGGTGGTGCATTAGGTGGCAGCAGAAATCCTGAGCATATAAAACCACAGTTAATGTAGCGGCATGGTTCGATACCTAAGGAGAATAATCCCTATCAAGTGATATTTAAATGAGACACCTTGGTGTGGTGGGTGAGGACAGTTCTGGGTATTTGCTGCTGCTGGTCCGTCTCAGGCCGTGCAGCTTCATAGTGGACTCCCCAGTGGACAGAGCCTCTCCTTTCAGAGAACCACAGTCTAGGTCAGCCTTGGCCTTGGCTCTCTCCTTCTCCTTCTCTCGGTCCGTCATGTTCACTGGGCCTGTGCTCGTTCGATTAGACATCTTGCCGCTGCAGCTACCGGGCTCTTTAATCCTGGGGCCCGTGGAGGACATGGGCATGGGTTTCAGGGTCAACAGACTGGGGTCGATGGTACCGCTGACGGGCCGAGGCGCAGAGCGACCGATCACACTGAACGTGCTCGATTTGGCCGGTCGAGGCAGGCTGCGGTACTGAATGTTGTTTCGGGTGTTTGGCCCCAGGAAGCTCTGCTCGCTGCTGGCGTCAAAACTGTTCTTTCGACCCGAGGGGTTCCCTCCTCCGACAGGCTTCATAGGGATGCCAGAAGACCTCGGGGTTTTCCCCACGGTAGCAGAGCCACTGGAGATGGTGGCGCCCCCTGCTGTCATCATAGTGGCGGTACCGGTGGCTGTTGGTGGCTTCTTGTAGCCAAAGGAGGCTCCGGCAGTGGGTTTAACTAAACCTGAAGGGGGCTTGCGGTGCTCTCCCTGATGATCCCTTCCAGCATCTGAACGAGACCGTTGTAGACCAGCAGTTTTGAGGGAAATCCTGGACTTATCAAGTGGCTTCTCACTTTTAGGTGCTACATAAAGAAAGAGATTTCATAGTTTAATAACAATATAGAAATGTCAATAACAATTGTTGTTAAATGATGATGATTCTTCTTGTTACCACCATGACTCAGAGAAGGAAACGCTTCTCAAAAACAGGCGGATAAATAATGAATGGACGGACAGACGATGGGGCAGTAAAACCAGTAAACTTGGACAAACAAAAACAAAAAGAACCCCACTTACATGACTGCAGCATACATCAATTATAGTATAATTTCACATAAAAGCAAATGTATATATCCTTCCATCCATTACAGCTGAGATAAAATACAAGCAAGAAACATCTGTATTTACTTCGAGAGCTCATGTGCCTGTGACGTCAAATGTGACTCACCAACTTAAAAGGATCTTATGCTGAATTAAACTAACTACATTTTTTGGACCATATCACAGGACCTATCCGAGTGAAAAAATCAATCAAATCAGATCCAAATGGATCATTAAAGTAAAAGCACAGAGCTGGCAAATATGTAGCGACAGAGAAATATTAAAAAGGGATTTCTTTTTTCTTTTTCTGCAAAACTGCAGTCAAGCGTACATACAATCAGATCTAATGTTAAATACTTCTGTTTAAAGCTAATAATACACAGAGGAAATTAAAATGAGAGGTCAAGAAATGTTGGTATTGGAACTCAATTTCAATCGTGGCATGTTTTGTTGGGGGATTTAATACATTTAGTTGCTGCCGATGGCAGACACAGCGTCTCTGCAGACATGTACAGTAAGTAACCGGCCTTTCTCTGAGGTAATAGCAGAAACGTGGCTCTGGGCTCAAAGCTGATTTTTTAATGACATAGATGTAATGGTGCATTTTTGCTTTAGTATACTGTGCAACAAATCAAAACCTGGCTCACGCTAAGAGGTTCATCTTGACACCAAGCAGACATCCGCCTTGGCTGCTCTAAAAACAGGCTGTTTTACATTTGGATACAGCATACAAAGAGATAATGGCGACATAGATTTAGTAGTTAAAACAAGTTTAAAAAGCAGAAGAGATAAACCAAATTCCTATAGGAAAGGAACAGCAGAGAGGAGAGCAGGCTGATGGAAAGAGAATGTACCATTAGATCTCACCTGCGACTTTCAAAGTGCTCTGAGAGGTGTGGGTGATGGGGGAGGTCACACCTATGGGAGGATTACGACCCTTCTTGAGACTACCTGGATGACCCAAGCTTTGAGGCTTCCTCAGTTCTCCTTTACACCCTGAATCTTCGCTGAGGCTCGGAGGCTTCTTCCTCCACTTGCTTGGCGCCTCCGTCTTGAGACTCCCCGTGCCGTAGCTGCAACTGTCGAGCTTGTGGGCGGCTTTGCCATCCTCGCTGTACCACGAAAGTCCACTCTCCACCAGGGAGCGCTTCTCTGCGTCAGTGCGAAGCTGCGGAGGGAGGGAAGAGGCAGAGCGCGGGGAACCGTCAGACATGGTCTGTGTTATCGGTGGAACCGACTGTTTGTCTGTTATCTTTGTTTCATCTCAGCTGCATTCCAGTGGGGAGCAGGGAGAGACAGACTGATATGTCCCGAGCAGATTAAAGAAAGCCACAGAGGAATACAAAGGAATGAAAACAAACCTCCCCCAAAGAGGTGTATGGATTTAACACTTTCAGAGATAAATCAACACTAGAATAATCAAGAAAAATGAAGAATAGAGGATGGCTTAAGCTGTAAAAAACTGTACAGTGGGCAAAATAAAACAGCTATATACTGTAATAGAAAAAATATCATGTGGTGCATTGAGGAGGTGGCACTGAGGACAAAATTGGGCATGCTGCTTTTTGGCACCCTATTAATATAAAACAGAGTGGCAGATGGCTCGTAGAGTACCACTAATTTATTTCTCCCAAGTGAGCATTCTGTAAGTAAGCAAAAAGACAAAATGTTTACCTTTGTAAAAGGTAGAAACCACTACTACCTTTATCTAACGTGAACATGAAACAAGTTTGATCTATTTAAACATCCCCTCTCAACATGTTGCAAGACATCATTTGCGTCTGACATGGTTTTTTTTACCCCACAAAAAAGTTAGTTAACTCTCTTACTCATTGCCTTTATTGGACAATTCAGGATGCATATGTATACGTGGCAAACCTCACACTCCTAACATGCATGTGTTCAAGTTTTAGGTGAGCACGGAGAAACGTTCCACCTTCCAATGAACCTTAAAACAGACTTCTAGTGTGAAACCCTGCACATACCTCATTCCGCACAGTGCAGGTCAAACAAGTGAAGTAACAATAAGCAGAACACATTTTTCAGTGAAAAAAAGGGGCTTTAAGGCCCAGTGTAACAACGGGGAGTTCACATGTAATTTCTTGAACACGACAAAGATTGATTACATTGTGACAGACCGAGATTCTCTGTAGTTTAATTTTAATGACAGAGATGAGGTCTGCGCTGCCTTTTTGTGGCTTTGTCAAAACAAAGGACTCACATTTAACACACAATACAAATTAAATTAGACAGTGTGAAGTATTGAAAATGCCTAGAGAAAAAGTCTCGGCCTTTCACAAAACAAAACAAATAGCAAGATGGAAGGGAAGCCAAACGCTGTCACAGACGGTTAGCTCCAGTATTTCAGCTCACCATAACAGAGGAGCTGCGTCTGGATCCCAGGGGTGTGCTCGGCAGGGAGCTAAGGGAGGAGCTGACGTTGAACTCCTCTGAACTGAGGTTCTCCGAGCCATCGCCTTCGCCGTCGCTGAGCCCGCTGCTGATGGAGCTGCTCTCATCCCACCTGAAACGAGACAGGACGACCACTTTGCAAAAAATGTGCCGCCATCAAGTAAACGGCAGCCGTGTGAATGTGCAGCATGGCTGCAGAAATCCGGGTTTGAAGTGAAGAAAAGGCTGGCAGCAAGAGTGACATGTCCATCTGCCTACAGTAAGCTGTCCCAACATGGCTGCAGCTGCTTTGATTCAACCAATACATCAGAGCTCCAAACCATATGGTGACCAAAGACTCAAGTCCGGATCTTTCTGTATTAATGAAATAAAGTATGATTTTTTTTCCACTTATTATCTAATTGACTCTGCCATGTACTTGTTCCACAACTTTTATCACATCAAACAGTTTTGATTGTGGCGCCAGAGGTTGTAGTTCATTAATTCTGACAAATTCAGAATCTGTGAGCGCTCCGTTAAATCTATGATTGTGTTAATATAACCCACCGATCACGAACTTTAAGCCAAGCGGTGAATGACGCTTTTAGCAAACCACGAAATCTTAATTGAGAAACTCGTAGCTAGGAGTCAAAATAAAACGGTCAGTTTGGACATTTAATTTTGAGCTAAAAAATAAACTTAGAAAAAAAAAATATATATATATATATACTGTATATACTGTGTATATATATATATGTATATATAAGCTGTGCCATAATATAATAAATGCCAGCAAAGCTAATGATTTAGGTTGGCAAACACATTACAGTCTTTGATTGCAGCTTCAAGGGAAACTTTACAGGATATGCTGATGAATCTCGCTGGATAAAAAGTATGGCAACTGACAGCTCTGGGTTTAGACAAAGAGGTCTGGTATGCTCTGAAGAAGCAGGATGAGAGGAAATCGGAGTGACAGTCCTCTAACCCCTCCCTGACCCTTCCCTCAACCCCACAACCAAGTCGCCCTGAAACAGATGCTGCCAGACTGGCCTCTCGTGTGAGGAAAGCAGGGACAGCCTAGAGAAACTGCTCACTGGGCGTCAGGTCTCTGGAGACACAATATTTGAATACATTTAAAATGCAGATCACCGGGTAGAGTTCAACAAGAGGTATAGCCTCTCAATCAACCAAAACATCACAGGAGGGTGATACAATTCCATTCACAAAGGCAGTTTAAAATTGAAGAGGAAGCCATTGTATGTGCTTTAGAAGAGCAATAATAACATGTTGAATTTGAAAATTATAAGAGTATGGAGCAACTGTGGCTAAGTGGATAGCAGGGCCGTCTTTCAATCAGAGGGTCGGCGGTTAAATCCCCGGCTCCGGCTCTGCTAGTCGCATGTCGATGTGTCCTTGAGCAAGACACTTAACCCCAAAATTGCTCCCGTAGTTGTGCCTACGGTGTAGAAATGTGATAGAATCTGAATTGTAAGTCGCTTTGGATAAAAGCGTCTGCTAAATGACTGTAATGTAATGTGATGTAATAAGAGACTCAAGTCAGATTTGCATGATTACGTTCCCCATCATTACTACTGGCAACCACAGGTGGTAATCAAATGTATGTTGGCACACAAAAGAAAATGTGGCACAGTGGAAAAGGTAAATGAATAAGACCCTTTAAAGCCGAGTCACTGCTTGAGCTGGATCCGTTCTTTCCCCTTTCTTTTGGCTTCCCAAACGGAGCTGAAAATGCTCTCTGTGGCTCCGCAGTGTGCAATGAGCCGAAGGCAAGGAAACTGGGATTGCGTAGAAAAACACAGGGAGACAAAAATGGCCCTCACACGTTCCGAATTGGACTTCCTCAGAGGCGCAGCTTGACACGAGCAAGGAGAAACATGAGATTAATAAAGGGATTCTTGAACATTTTGAAATGTTTTCACATACCAAAGAGAACCATTTTTGATTTACATTAGGCCCAGATGTTCTCGGTATGTTCGAACAATACCACCTCTGTCAGGGGGCGACAGAGCGGCCATGAATAACCCCCACAGTGATGTCAGCCTGAAAGGAGGCAGGAGGGCCTGTGGATTGTTGACATTACAAGCCAAAAAGTGTCTACTCTCAGAGGCGAAATCTAGACAGGGAGAGGGTGGGAGTATAGCCTACGCCAGCAAAGCGCATACTTCATACATAGGGTGGTAATTAACTTTCTGTTTTCCGTGGCACAACTCCAACGTCTCTGATTTGTGTGTCTGCGCTATTATTTGCGTTGGGTTGCTTGGAAAATGTTTTGATTTAAGAAGACTAAGGGATGACTGGGTGCGGTAGAGCAGGGTGGGGACGTTGCAATCACCAACAGCATCACTAAAAAACACACACATCCGAGGGGCTGGCTGCTGCTACCGAGACGTGTGTGGCACACACTGCAAAGATGAACAAAGAAACAAGCCCAGAACTGATGCATACACTGTATATAAGCTCGAGCCTGTTGCAGCTATGAAAAGCAGATGAAACACAGCAAGGGGAATGTAGCTTGCAGTTCATTTTTCTGCATAAAGGAGAGCGAAGACAAAGCTCCTGGGGTGCATGCCTATGGCTGAGTGAGCGGTGAAGACGTCCTCTATTATACAGATAGCTGTGGTTCTCCTCCAAGAATACAATGTGTTTCCACAGATGTTATAGTTCCCAGTGCCAAATCACTGTCAACGCACTTCTCATGAGTATTTGTTTGACTTCATGGCAACATAATACACACATGTATAACCCTTCAACAGAAACTTTAGAAGCTCAATTCAAGACACTTTGCTACTTAACTGTATTTTTGTCGCGACTAGTATTCCGGCATCGTTTTTATTATTAGAGTTGCCTACATCCAAAAATGTAACTTATTGAATTAAGCCGAATTCATCCTCTAATTGGCTATGTTACAATACTGTACTGTCAATCAAAACTCAGGTCATGCTAAGAATAAATCATTTTAGCCCGCAGTCCCGTTAACCACGATATAAAACCATTAGCGTTAGATATTAACCTTTGCTACAAGGCAAGTAAATAAAATGCACAAGTTAAAAATTTCGTTGTTGGAAATTCGTAATGATATATCATCTTTAACGTTACCTTGGCGTAAAAAGTAACGTCCTCTTGGCTCTTGGCGCTGACTGCAGCGGAGGCACTTTGCCGATCAAAACACGTCCGCTCATTAGTGACCGATTTGAACACAACTTGTGTGCTGCCGAGATTCAAATTCATATCCTCCGCAAGCAAAGACCCGCTTTTCTTCCCATTCAGCGAGCAGAAAGAAGCGGTCTGCGGACCGGACAGGCAACACCCCCCTTTCCAAAGAAATTAAAAAAAAAGGAAAAAGAGGCAGAGAGAGAGAGAGAGAGAGAGAGAGAGAGAGAGAGAGAGAGAGAGAGAGAGAGAGAGAGAGAGAGACCCTGATGCTCCTCTGAGAGATGATGGCCAACGGCTGTCTTGGTGAACTATTACCTTGTGATCTCATAAATAGATACTTCATTTATCATATACATACTGATTTATGTATTTCATGTACTCAAATATCTAACTTTGAAATCAGATTAGCCAAAAACGTTGGAGAGTACAAGCATGCAGTTTTTCCTCAAACTAGCCTATCTATGAATAATGGTCCAAATGTTAGCTTGTGTGAGCAAATTGCCAGATACCAACCGAGACCACAGGAGAGATAGTAAATTATAGGGCCATTTTACTAAGCTCAGTTAAGTCCTCATAAGACGCAGGCTAGTTTGTGGCTGTAGCTTTCCAGTTTTAGAAAAATAACCCGCATTAGGTCATCAGGGTTCACTTGGCTTTGGCATTGAGACTCAAACATTTAAACAGAGAGCCGGCATTACAAACCGAAGGTGTGGCGGTACTGAAGTAGGCATTTAGGAGTTACATGATGGGAATTGTAGGATCCAGCGTTTTGTAACGTGATCCATACTAAAATACTAAAAGGCAGGATGTCTCAATCTCTGCTGCTTTACAACTAATATACAGTACACTGTACAGCCACATTTGTCACTGGGCCGACTACAAGTGGGGGTCTGTGTGAGGGGGGTAGTAAGATGGGCTCCTGTATCACTTTGCCACGCTAGATATAGCAACTTAAGTAAAACTTTTTTTGTTTAATACTACAATAAGCCCTATTTGCTAGCTAGGCAGTATTCCATTGGTATTCACATGTTGCTCATTGTCTGCTGTAGGAAACTAAAGCGATAAGTTCTGGGCAGATGTTACGATATATTGAAGCTCTTCTGATGAGTACTGGATGGTGTTCATTGCTTGTATGAAACGCCTCAGAGTAAAAAAGCAGGTCTTAGGTCCATTTCAAACTCAACAAATGCATTCAAATAAAGCTTAGTGATTTAGATTAGTATAAGTGATGTCTCATGAAGTCTTGACAGTGATCGTCAGGGTTTTAACCTTTAACAGGAAATCAAATTTAAAAGCCCACGCAAATAAACTTTTTTGTTTTTTTTAGATCAGACAGTCTTTCACATTAAACAGATCACAATGACGACTGCACTTAAAAGTAATATGTGTTCCATCTTCATCCCTGCCCTCCTCGGGCCTATAGCTGGAAAAACTCCGTCCAAGGTGGCCTGAATCACTGCGAGCTCTGACCACAAAGCCACAGATGACATGAGGACCGCCAGTGAGGCATGAGTAGCCTTGGAAAACCTCCCTCCCCCTCTCATTAGGAGTGGAACAGTCTCACAGGGATGATCTCACCAGATCTCAGCTCTGTAGACCAACTACTCCGGGAGGTAAAGGACGTCTCACACCCTGTTCACGTCCTAGGCCAAAAATCGGATCAGTCGACTGTTAAGTCAAGCTTGACTTATTTTGGTTCAAAATGTTGGGCCAAAAGATTGTACGTGCCAAGAATCTGTGCTCATTTTAATCCTGCAGGAGATCAATTTATTGACCTTTATGATGTATTATAGTTTTAGGCTGCCTCGGTTTTTTCCACCTTAGGCCACATCTTGTAATATTAATAGAGCTATGTATGGAATTTAACAGTGTTTTTTCTTTTTGTTGAGAATAAGTCAGTGTGTGTACCAGACAAACAGGCATTTCTCATTATCTTTCACAGAGGGAGATGCTCGTTGG